AAACTTGAAAATAAGAGAGAAAAGATGAAAATAAGTGAGAAAACTTTCAAATAAAAAGTAAAAGGTACAAATAAAAAAGAAGAAAATAAAGGAGAAAATACGAAAAGAAAAGATGAAAAGAGTAGATATGAAAATGAACAAGATGAAAATACGCCAGAACAGGTGAAAATACGCTAGAACAGATGAAAATACGCCAGAACAGATGAAAATAGCAGTGAAAAGATGGAAACAAGAGAGAAAAGACTAAAGGAAAACAGAAAAGAGAAAAATAAGAAAAAAAGATGAAAATATGGAAGAAATAATTAAAATAAATAGAAAAATGTCAGACAAGCAGGAAAGATGAATCTAAGAGAAAAGAGAATAAAATAAAAGAGAAAAGATGAAAAAAAAGCAAGAAAGGATGAAAATAAGACAAAAAAAAAATGAAATTAAGAGAGAAAAGATGAAAATATGTGAGAAAAATAAAGGAAAGAGAAAGAAATTACTAACAAATAGTTTTTCATTTGTTGACTGTTGATAGTAAAACTTATTAATGCCTGTCAATTATAGGATACCATTCGAATTTTTCCGGATGCTAATTTTGCAGAATTAACAATTAAACGAATACCGACTGCAGAATAAAAATCTTTGTAGCAAAAAATGTTCAGTATTTTTCCCGCTTAACTAAATGTATGAAATAAATGTATGAAATCTGAAGTGTTTTTTAACTGCATAAATACATCAACAAATGACGTTGCCGAACATGTATAGAAACAATGCCATGATACAAGCATATAAATATATGAAAATGACACGCACTCACACAGCCATGCACACACTTGTTTCGATTCAATACAGAGACACATTAAAAATATGAAGAAAGCAAAACTTCTAAAAGAAAAACAGCCAAATAAGATTCTTTGAGAATTGACCAGCAGCTCAATTATCCGCCATTATGATAATATAGACTAAAAAAGATTAGCATTTCACCAGAATCAGACGTTAGGTAACATCATCATAATTTTATGACCATCCTAAATTGGCTTCTCGACTTCAAACACTTTCTCACAGATGTAATGTGGCTTCCTTGTCTTTTCTACAAATATTTTCATGGCTACTGCTCTGACGAGCTTTTTTTTCCCCTCTGCTCCTAATTCTAAGGAATTTAAGTGTGCTACAAGATTGGCATTTAGGTCCCACCCTCTTACTGTTGAAATAGTTAAATGTAACCGCCACTTCTACTCCAACTGTTTCTTTCTTCACACTTTCCGCTTTTGGAACTCCCTATCTATCACTTGATTCCCTGATAACTACAATCTTCAAAAATTGAAATGCAATGTCAGTTGCCATATTCTGTCGACTTGAACCCCGTTCATCTTTTATTCGTTACTCAATCCCGCCCCCCAAATAACCAGTCTTGTCTCAGTTTCTGTAAGCCCCTGCGTACTAGTGGCACACCCACCTTGTTTGGGGTGAAATGATTAAAAAATCTTACCAAATAAGGTAAACGGAAACCGTCTGTCTGTTCGTCAGTACATCCGTCGAATAAAAATAACACAGTAAGTTTTCTTCATTTCTGCGTCTAAATTTACATAATCTCAGATATCCTTCAAATCTGCATATTTTCTCTTTCCTTTTAAACCAATCAGATATTATGAAAAATAAATCAATGATATTGAAACGTAAACAATTCTAGATTTTCTTGATTAGTGGGGCCTATAGATTCATAAATTGGTTTCTTTTATTATTTTTCGATAAAAAAACAAACAAACTGAAAATAAGTGAATATATTTTTGAATGTAGTGAACATACATTTGAGTAAGACGGCAAATACAGTTTTGTTTTCTTTTTTTTTCTCTGTCTACACTGACCGGCTAACGTCTGTGAGTCAAGTTGTCACCATTTGCCAATAAAAAGTTTTTTTTTTCCTCTCCAGGATTCAATATTGACAGAAATATGAAGAAATAGATTTACGCAAACAGACTTGAACATAAATCTGTTAATAGAGAAATTGACTAATCAATTCAAATATGAGAAAAGCTTGGAAGAAAAATCTAGAATCGATATTATTGGGACTCGTTAACACAGATAGAGTGGATGTGCGGATGGTGCAATGTAAGAGAAGAAATGAGAAGTCGAGGAGGCGAGTTCGAATTTCAGGAAAGTTCTTTACAGTGTCGTGTCCATAAAAATGCATAAATAAAAATTAACTGTAATGTAAAAAAATAATTATAATTATCATTAATTCAATCATTCTAAACCAATGAGAATCGATGCACTCTTCTCCTCTACACACACAAAGACGTGAGTTTCTCACTATCGGACAAGCAGTACACAGAGGCAGATCGTCAACACATGCGTCAACAAAAAAATCATCTTTTCCTTTTCCAGGCCATAATAGTGACATTTAATACTCAACAAAAATTCAGAAGAAAACCCCAGAGACATTTATTTTTTAACTGAATTATCTGGACACACACACACACACACACACACACACACACACACACACACACACACACACACACACACATATATATATATATATATATATATATATATATATATATATATATATATACACTAGAAAGACTGTATATACATTTTATTTGTTCTTTATTTTATCATTCTGTCGCATTATGATCCATATTTGATTTACATTTGACCCACAAACTGCCATTTTTTTACTCAGTGTTACTGTTTCTCGTTTCCCCAATACTACACACAACAAACAGGTAATAAATAAAACTCGTTTTGTTCTTTCCACCTTTTGCTGTTTCTCATTTTTGCCAGGTATATTTGTATATAGAAATAATAATTATTTTCTCACAGTCATAACCCCTTTACAACATTCACTAACGCGTAAATACCCTTGGGAAAATATGAATCTATATATTCTCCCCCTTCTATGGGTTAAATAGAAAAGCCGACTCAGCTCTCTTACTGTGGTTGACAACCAGTCTCAGAGAAGGACAACACTGAATTCAAAACCGTAACGATCAAATCACCGGTTACTCTTTGGCAAACCATACCATCAACGGGATAGGATCAATGATAGAATCGAATAGATCAGATCAGTGGCAATGATGTCATGTAAAAATATCCTTCATACTGGACAATGAATGGGATCTAATTATTCCGAAGCTGTTGGAAGCTGTGGGAAGCCACCATGTGTCACTTAATACTAGGGGAAGGGGCTGCAAATGTAGGTATACAGTAAGCACTAATATGCTTTCTTTTTACGTTCTGTGTCCTTTCAGAACGTAGGCGATCATGGCTCTCCACTTCTCCCTATCTCTTGTCGCTCTCAATAAGTTTCGTTCTTCTTCCATCTCCCCCAGACCACGTTCTTTCATCAACTTGCTTAAACCCGCCAGGTATGTCATGTATTGCTTTCCCTTGTCTCTTTTCCCCTTTATTCGACCTGTGAGTATCAGATTCTCCAGGCAGTCTTTTCTCATTAAGTGTCCGAGAATTTCATCTGCCTCTTCCTGATGTTAAGTATAAGCTTCCTCATTTTTTGCATCCTCTTTCAAACCTCATCGTTGCTAACATGATATTCTTAACATCCTTCTGTAGAACCAAATCTCCGTTGTAACAAGTCTCTTCTTCATCTTTGAAGAGACCGCCCAGCATTCGCTATCGTACAGATGTCACGTAGCAGCGCAGTACTCTTTTTGATGTGGACCCAAAATTGGGACCGCGGAAGGAAAACACGGATTAGATGTAAGAAAGATATATTAAACAAAAAGGTTACAAAGATAGGGTAAGTGTAAGCGGAGCTTACTATGTGCTAGTGTCCAATATTGGTAGTCGTACGCGGCTGATAGTACGGTATTAGAATTCTCCCCCCATCTCTCTCTCTCCCTCCCTCCCTCCCTCTCTCTCTCTCTTCTCGTAGAGTGTTATATCGCATACTTTATATAGTCCTGGAAGAGTCCATGTTGTAGGTATGTTACGGTCTCACAACACTTTTCTTTGTCACCAAAGAGATCTTCCTGTCTCGCAGTACTTTGCTCAGGTTTTGGAATGCATCCTTGCTCATACCAATACGTCTACGGATCTCAGTGTCGCACTTACCATCCTCTGTCAAAACACTGTCCAGATATTTAAACTTCTGCACCTGTTTGATTTTAGTGTCCCCAACCTGCAAATTGCATTTCGAGCTCTTCCTCTTACTGAAAATTCTGTCTTCTTGTAGTTTATGCTTAGTCCTTTCTTCTTGCTCTCCTTCGCTAACCTTCTATAGGAGGTTTTGTAGTTTCTTTTCCTTGTCTGCTATCAACACTGTGTCATCTACGTACCTTATGTTGGTAAGATTGTGACCGCCAATGCTGAATCCCGGTAGAATTTCCAATTCTACCAATATTACTATTATTATAATAGTGATTCACGGATTCATTTAATACTAGAATTTATTTAATTCATTAAAATCATTTTTAATATTTTTGTAATATTCTTATTTTCATCATTTTTATTATAATACATTTATTACAATTTTTATTTTTTAACCGAAAATAATAATAATAATAAATGTTTTGCTGGCAAAAAGGAGTGTGTGTGTGTGTGTGTGAATGACGGGAGCAAACAGTTTGAATATTTTGTTGGATTGACAGATGTTTATTATTGATATGTTTGTGGTATCAATACAATACGTTTTGTGCACACATTTTGCATTTTTTATTATTGTATATCTACTTTTGCACACCCCTTGTACATGCGCAACGGAAACCCCTTTGATGACACGCATCAAACAATACCAGTAAGAAGCGTGTGAATAATATGACGAAGGGGGTGGCGTCTCGACGGATGACCTTGTCTGTTAGTTAACACTGCTTTTCCTGAAAGTCCATTGAATCTATAGAATGCCTCCTCAGCAAAAGGACACTTTGGAAGTTGCTGCAGATAATAAAATTTAAATAATAAGAAAAAAATCATTAATTTCCTTAAAGTGATACCCTTGTGGTGCGCTTTGGCCTAAGGTGGGTAATGGTTAACCTGTTAGTCTGCTTGTTGATCATGAGATCGTTCCACACAGTGTCTCAAGGGTGTGTCCTTGGGCCAAGCTAATATTACCTGTGTGACACCAAATTACACATATACAGAGAGCAAGGAAGCCTTTCGGCGGCCTTAAATTGAGAATGAATATAAAGCTTCGGGAAAATTATCATGCATGTTTTTGTAAAACTTTGAAAAACAGGTTTTTAATATTTTTGTACTTTTTAGATTTTCTATTGTTTCCTTCTCTCTTTCCGATCCCTCCCCCTTCTTTTGTCGTCTTTTTTCTTTTTTGTCTTCTTTTTCGTTTTCTTCTTTTTTTTCTTCATTTTTTCTTCTTCCTTTTTTTCTTTTTCTTCTGCACTTTATTTTCTACTTTTTATTTTTATTTTCTTTTTTCGTTTTCTTCTTTTTCTTTTACTTTTTCTCCGTTTTCTTCTTCTTTTCATTCTTCTTCTTCTTTTTCTTCTTCTTCTTTTCATTCTTCTTCTTCGTCTTCTTCTTCTTCTTCTTATTATTATTATTATTAGTCATAGTAGTAGTAGTAGTAGAATTGTCATCATCTTTATCTTTGTGGCAATTTTTATTCGTTTCTTTTTTTAGTTTTTACATCTGTACGCGCATTCGAAAGTTGTGCATCCATAAAAACAAAGCAACGGCTTAAGGTCTGATTTAAGCAAACATATTTGCCATTCTGTGCACGTTCACATTGACAAACACTTACAGGAAGTGGTTGGGAATATACGATCATATAGAGGCACACAAGATTAAACCTTTTCATCATACACACGATCATTCAGCATGCACAGTTGAGTAGAATCGCTTTCTCTAGAATTCAGTATACTCACAGATATTCAAAGTTAATCCTAATTTGCATAAAGGAATCCATGATATTCCGAGGCCCTGGCTTTCGATTTTTCTTTGACTCGGACATGCAATTTATTTGAATACTAGCTTAAAAACCGCACTCCGTGTGATCTTTATGCTACCCTTCGGTCCAAAACTAAACGAACCTTTAGTCCAGTTTAGAAAAGTGCAATGTTAGTATTGCAGAAATAATTTTGAATTCTTCAATTCACTCCATACAAATTCAAAAACCTCACTTTAACACTGATTTGAGCTATGAGTCCAATTCCGGAGAAAAGACGGATTTGGGCCGAAATTCTGATTTGGGCCGAAATTCCTATTCGGGCCGAAAATTGAGTTCTTCAAATCACAAACTCCGTGGAACTTGAAGACCTCACGTTACGAAACCTCTTACTTTAACTCTGATTCCTTGGAATTTTTCAGAAATAAAATTCTTTGGAGATATTAAAACAAAAAAATTCAATTCACAAAGTTTTTGTATTACTTTAAACTCAATATAAATTAAAAACTTTTAAATCTAATTTTTCAGTTACTTTAAAAGTTTGAAATTTTAACTGTTCCCTCCTCCTCAGGGCACAGATCCCAATGCCGGATGTTCAAGCACCAAATGAAGGGCATATTTTCAATCCCGGAAGCATCCTGATTCCAAAAAGGTATAATATGTTTATGTAGAGCAAGTGTGACCCAAATTAGAGGGACTCAAATCACACAGACAGAATTTGCCGTTTATTTATTTAGATTTTTCAATTAGTCTTTTAATATCTTTGATTTTTCCTCTAGAATATTCACTACTTCTAGTTTTTGTATTTCACATTGTTTACACAGGAATCCTGCCCCCAAGATGTGTTGAGAGCACCCCTGTGCCAACTGTTATTTCTGAAATGTCACCGGAAAAAAATTAAACTGGTTTGTACAATCTACTGCTGTCATCGATGAACTTTCTGCACAAAATATGTGCTGAATAAAACCTGAGGCCTTTGGAAAAGGTTATACTTCTTTGAAGATTGTAGACGGGCCGTGTGGATTCACAAACAAAGAATTGTGCCAAAAAACAGAAACCACCTCACTTGAGGACTACCAACAGCAGCAACAACTAAAATAGATAGCAAGTAATTTGAAAAGAGAAAATAATCAAGATGTTGACATTCCACACTACTTCAAATAAAAGGTTAGGAAGGAAACCCCCCATCAATAATGGAAAGAGTAATAACAGCTACTGGGCTTGAGAAACCTGTTTTCCTGAAAAATTCTTTTAATAGAAAGATTTTTTATAAATTTCGACTGAAAACAGTACTGGCTGCTCAGTCAATAAATGCCAAATATTTCTTTATAAGGAAACAGCTAGTGTTGCCATCACCGTTATTCTCTGAAGACAAGCCTTTTGTAGAGTTCTTAAGTAGATGTTTAGTTTGATTTATACTACAGCCACCATAATACTTCAAGTCTCTATGAATCCCTAACTAGTCCCCATATGTACAATTTGTCTGTGTTGGGGACAAGTAGTATTTACACCATCTCTCCATTGAGATGTGATGGGGGCACTTGAATGTGTACACCCCGGCCAGGGCCCAAAATTGCCCAGCACCCCATAACCATTGGGGTTACTGAATGTTAGAGAATAGGAGAAAAGAAAGCATTATTAAGGAATAAGAACAATAAAAGAAAAAGGATTAAGAAGGCAGATAATGATTGACATAACATTTCAATTTTTGAAAATCAAAGTAGGTTTGGAAGTATGAAACCAGACAGGGTGTTCCACAAACAAAAAATGCAAAATCAAATATCATCCTTCTTTGAACATTGTGGACTTCACAAAGAACTGTACCAAATAACAGAAACAATCTCACGCAGTAACAACTAAAATGGCTAGCACTGAAGTAATCTGAAGAGAGAAAATAATGACATGATCATAATAAAGTTAGGAAGGAAACACCCATCGATACTGGAAAGAGAGATAACAGCTACTAAACTTGAGAAATCTTTTTTTCCTGAAAAGTTGGTTTAAGAGAAAGATTTTATAAATTCCAACTGAAAACATTATTGGTGTCTCAGTCAATAAATGCCAATTTGTGAGGCAAACATACGTCGTACTACACGATGGCGACGCGTCTAAATATGCTAGCAAAATATACTCGCTTTTATGTTCGATCCTCACTCGAATATATATATATATTATTAAATATAAAAGACAACGAATGTCTATTATGTTTGATCCTGAGCCGTTCTAAGCTTCGTACAGTGGCTTTAGTTTCGGAAGAAAATAAAGACAAAATATGTCCATTTGTTGTCTGTTATATTTAACAATATATGTTTGAATAATGAGGTTCTGCCCCAATACACTAAATCTAAATACATTTATATATAAATATATCTATAAATAAAAACAATTATAATTTAAGAGTCCATATCTTCAAATGTATGTAAAAAACACACAAACACACACGTAAGAACTTCACAACACTTTGCCTACGACACTTCACTTTGCCTACATCACTACGTCTGCGTTACTACACACTTTGCCTACGTCACTACACACTTTACTTACGCCACAACATTCTTTGCCTACGTCACTACACACGACTCCGAAACTCACCATTTGTTTCTACTTACCCTGATGATGATTTTCTGAAGTTGAAAGCTTGGACCAGATTTCTTCCAAAATGACAATTTCTGACGGAATTTCTTCCTTATCTGAGAATGTATCTTCGTAATTAGGAAAAGTCAATCAATAAAACTAAACGACACAAAATGTATGTTGTCTTATAGTCATTCATATCTTGCGCAACACTTTGCGGACTCTTAGCATCCGATCCAATGACCAGAAAACAGTCAAGAAAATTATAGACTTGGGGAATGTTTATGCCGCATATAATTCGAGTAGTCTGATGACAAGACACAGACGAAGTCTTTAATACCCGTATCATATCAGGATGATATGGCGTATGACATAAAGACAGAGAGAGTTGTAGAAAATCTATATTTATTGTAGTATAATTTTTAGCTCTGTCTTCGACCACTGTTTTATTACCACTAGCGCTCACTGAGCGCAATTATATATATATATATATATATATATATATATATATATATATATATATATATATAAGTGAACATAGAAGTCAACAGTTAGAGGTGAAAATCTGTTTCTTTATATTTACACACGCTGTATCTTGATATTGAGCACTTTATCCCATAAATATAGCACATCTTAAGACTATATATATATATATATATATATATATATATATATATATATATATATATATATATATATATATATATATATGATGAAATAGATTAAGTCCGACAATTATTTAATATATTTTCTGTTTATACTTTATTTTATAGATACAAATTATTTAAGTTCTCTGTTTTATTTGTTGTTTTTTTTTTATTTATTAAATAGTATTAATTATATTTATCTGCTTGAAATTTCGTAGAAAATATGCGTTTTCCGACAGGAATTGAATTTTCACTTTCTTCCTATTTTTCTTTTCCTTCCGACCTTTTTTCTTTGTCTCTCTTCCTCTCTCTCATCTTCTCCTTTATGTATACATGTTTAGTAAATGCAATCCAGACGACAAATTTTCATGTATACATCGGTATCGTAAATGTTATCTAGACGAAAAATTTAGAACGTTCAATGATTTCCCTTCACACCTCTTCCCTCACCCCTTCTCCCCCTTTTTTTTTTATCTAATGTCACCACAAATGTATTCATGCTTTTTTCCGTTGTTTGTGTTTTTTTTTTAAATTTAAACCAACGAATCGAAAGTCAATATATGCAACTGACAATAACTCGTATTCATCTAAATCTTACTCTTTAAAACCATTAATTTAACTTCTCACTTTAAAATTTTATTCCTCACACTTACACTAGGTTCTTTCTTATTCTTCTGTCTTTCTTTCCACCCTCTCTCAAGATCAGTCATACATGTCCTTCGTTCTCATCTCCCACATATACACTGTCACAAAAATTTTGTTATTTAAACCCGGAGATATATTTTCTGTTTTATTTTTGAATTTGTAGGTCTGGGGAGTTGGGTAGTTACTACGAACCCAATGAAATATATTATAACCATGAAATTATAGTGTTCGAGCCTTTGATATATATATATATATATATATATATATATATATATATATATATATATAT